CTCTCCCCTTATCCCATAGCTTCCTGGACACACCACATGCTGCACATACTTGTCTGTGTGCCTGTCTCCAGCTGGCAATGGGAAGCTTTCTGAGAACAAGCCTGCCTTTCATTGATCAGGATATTCTCTGTGTCTAGCATAGGCTTAAAATAGGTGCTTGAGGTTTGGGGAGAAGTGGATGAATATTTTCATGTAGGTATTTGAAGTTCCCCAAAGTTGTGATAAAGGAGCTTCTGTACACAAAGTAGTTATGTTATATATATGCTGCTATGCCTTGGGTGAAGGCTCTGGTTGCTTTTAAATTTTAGATCATAGTATTTTAATGCGTCATTCAACAGTTACTTACTAAGTATTCACTATGTGTGTTTTTTTTTAAATTTTTTTTTTTTAACAGGCAGAGTGGACAGTGAGAGAGAGAGACAGAGAGAAAGGTCTTCCTTTTGCTGTTGGTTCACCCTCCAATGGCCGCCGCGGCCGGCGCACCACACTGATCTGAAGGCAGGAGCCAGGTGCTTCTCCTGGTCTCCCATGGGGTGCAGGGCCCAAGCACTTGGGCCATCCTCCACTGCACTCCTGGGCCATAGCAGAGAGCTGGCCTGGAAGAGGGGCAACCAGGACAGAATCCGTCGCCCCGACCGGGACTAGAACCTGGTGTGCCGGCGCCGCTAGGTGGAGGATTAGCCTAGTGAGCCACAGCGCCGGCCAAGTACTCACTATGTTTTAGGTCCTGTGTCATTTTTTCAAAAAGATTTATTTTATTTATTTGAAGGACAGAGTTATACAGAGAGAGGGAGAGTCAGAGAGAGGTTCCATTCCTCTGGTTCACTCCCCAAATGGCCCCAGTGGTTGGGCCTGGATCAGGATGAAGCCAGATTTTTCTGGGTCTCCCATGTGGGTGGAAGAGGCCCAAGTATTTGGGCCATCGTTTGCTGCTTTCCCATGTACATTAGCAGGAAGCTGGATCAGAAATGGAGCAGCCGGGACACGAACCAGCGCCCAGATGGGATGCCTGTGTCGGAGGCAGCAGTTTGACCTGCTGTGCCACAATGCTGGTCCCAATCCTGTGTCATTTTTGAAGATCAGGGGATAGTGCATTGAGCAAGAAAAACAGCTCTGATCTTCAAACAGGGCACTCTCCAAGCGAAGCTTTGAAATTTTTTCTGAGTGACAGTGTGAAATTATTCTTGAAATCAGATGCTGGAAGAGGCAGCTGTTTCACCCCACCAAAGGAAAGTTTAAGTAACTAATCTTAAAATGACCTCTTTCCCTGGTGGCTAAAGGGAATGGGTGAGATGACATGACCAGGACCTGCCACTTGGTGGCAGTGCTTCTCAAAGGATGAATATTTTCAGATGAGAAAAGTAAGGTCTCAAACTTTATTCCAAAGAACTACTCCTTTGTACTAATTAGTACACAATACATTACAGGGTAGCCTTTCTCAAGTTGTAAAGAAAGGAGTAGAAGATATAATTTAGCCAAACATCTCCCTCCAAACTTCCCTAAGCCTCTGATATCTTCTTTGGTTGGTCTGTAAAGGAGCAAATGTAAGCAGAACACTGGAATGAGCTAGGCATGTTATGTTCCATGATTCGTTTTTCTCATGGCCATATAATATCATAGTGCTTTTTTCATATTGATTCTTTGTGGTATAATTAGAGATCCTATAAGTGAAAATGTTTCCTAACTGATATGACCAGATGAAAAGTACCAGGACTTGCAAAACTGTTCCTGTGCAGTACCAAACTCCCAGATTCTCTACAATTAAATCCATTTGAGAAGCATGATTGGATCCAGTGTTTTCTAGTCACCAGGATAACAAGGCTCTGAGATACTAAATGGCTTATCTAAGACCACAAAGCCGTGCATGGAACGGGTTCAGGCTAATTCCTATAAAATGAACATTCTAGATGTTTCTCTTGTTGCCATCTATCAACTTCATCTTTCAAAAAAGATTTATTTATTAATTTGAAAGGCAGAGTTATGAGGGTGGGGTAGAAAAGCGAGCGAGCAGGCAAGAGAGACTCTTCCATCCACTGGTTCAGGTGCACTAGCAGGGAGCTGGATCAGAAGTGGAGCAGCCAGGATTTCAACTGGCTCTCATATAGGATGCCAGAATTGCAGGTGGTAGCTTAACCCACTACACCACAATGCCAGTTACCTTTTGATTTCATCAACAGAGGTTGTTGGATGAGTAACCTTGGGGGAAAGGGACAAGGAGTCAAGAGTAAGTGCCCATTGGTCCTTGGCCTTTTCGCTATGATCAAGTGAAGAGTCACTGCCCAGCTTCTGAGCTGGTGAGTGAGGGATGGTGGTGCCAATCATCAAAATTGAGAATACAAAGTGCTAATTCCAAAGATGACTCACTTTAGCTGGGTGCAAGCTAATGTGTAGAACAAAATGTTTTGTGGGAATGGGAGAAATAAGGAATTTTATCATGGTCTAGAGTTCCAGTTTTGCAAGTGGAGAGAGTTCTGGAGATTTATGGCACAACAAAGTGAATGTACATAGTATAGTACATACACACTGTATAAGGTGATAATGATTAATGCGGCACATTTTATCTCATGTATATTTTACCACAATAAAAAATAAATAAAGGTTTCTTTTGCCTTCTTCACTCCTGTCTACCCATCATCCAAATGGGAGATTTCTCTCTTAGTTTCTCCAGTAAGTGAAGAGGTGCTCTCAAAAGACATTAGAAAATACTAATATAAGGAATATTATTTCATTTATTCACTTTTAGAGGCAGTTCAAGAAGAATCATAGAGTTGTAAACGGATGTTTATCCATTTCCCCACTCTGAGCCAGGATTGTTCTAAGTCTTTGGTTCTCAAAGTATGGTCTGTGGATCAGCAGCCCTAATATCACCTGGTAACTCGTTAGAAATACACATTCTGGGGTGGGCGAGGTGTACAGGCATTTGGAACAGTAGTTGATGCCCATATCCTGGCCAAGACATCCGCATCTCACATCAGAGTGTCTGGAATCAAGTACCAGCTCTGCTCGTGATTCCAGCTTCCTGCCTGTGTGCACCCGGGGAGGCAGAAGGTGACAAGTTGTTGGGTCTCTGTTACTACACGGGAAACCTGGATTGAGTTCCAGGCTCCCAGCTTCAGCCAAGCCTAGCTTGCTATTGTGGGCATTTAGGGAGTGAACCAGGGATGGGAAATTTCTCTGTCTCTGTCTCTCAAATAAATAAAAGAAATACATTTGAGAAGATAGTAAAGTGATGAAAAGGCAGATGGATTGAGACATGCAAGGAAGAGGATGGGTGATGGGGTCTTGTGGGTGGGGGCAGAAGTAGGTTGAGAGGTGGAAAGGAGGTGAAGAAGTAAAGCTGAGCAAAGGGCTTTTAACTGAACCCAGCTAAAGACAGACGCTTGGAAGAGGAAACCAGTGCAGTGCCTAGGGGCACCAACCAGCCTGGTATGTCAATGACCAAGGAGGGCCCTGGGCTGTGGGATTTTCAGTGCTAAAATCAGGAAAGGCCTGGGAACACTGGACTGAGCTGGTCTCCTTATCAGAGGTTACAACTGTGGAGTTAAGTGAGGCAGTAAGTGCTCTGCCCCTTCTCTCCGGGTGCCCCTCCTCTCCTGCAAGGGGCCCTGACTCAGCCAGATGCCAGAGGACAAGGGAGCTGGGGTAATAGTCTCGGAGGGTGAGCCTTGCCTGGACACAGACCAGGGCAAAGAAAGGAGAATCAACCCAGAGAGGCAAAAAGATAATAAGCAGCACAGTGGCAAAATGCACTAGAAGGGCCTAGGGAAGGTGGACTCCAGAGCTTTTACTCCTTTTCTAGTCTTGTTCAAAAGTAGAAAGCCCTGGGGTCAGCGCTGTGGCAGTGGGCTAAGCTTCCACTGGCAGCACCGGCATCCCATATGGGTGCCGGTTCGAGTCCTGGCCGCTCAACTTCCAATCCAGCTCTGTGCTGTGGCCTGGGAAAGCAGTAGAAGATGGCCCAAGTGGTTGGGCCCCTGTACCCACATAAGAAAACCCGAAGGAAGCTCCTGACTCCTGGATTCAGATTAGCCCAGCTCCAGCCTTTGTGGCCATTTGGTGAGTGAACCAGAGGATGTTTGTCTCTCTGTCTCTCCCTCTCTCTGTAACTCTACCTCCCAAATAAAAATAAATAAAATATTTACTAAAAAAAAAAAAAAAGTAGAAAGCCCTCTAGGTCTGAGGCGGGTCCCGTCTGCACGTTCAAATTAGCCCCAAATAAAATTTATAAAGATTACCCATTAATGTTCTTTGGTATCTAAGCAGTTGGCAAAACGTGTTTTTGTTGTTTTTTTCTTTTCTTTTCTTTTGAAAGCGCAACAAAGAGAGAGAGAGAAAATCTTTCATCTGCTGGTTCATTCCCCAAATGCCCACATCAGCCAGGAGCCAAGACCTCCATCCGGGTCTTTCAGGTGGGTGGCAGAGGCCCAAGCACTTGGTCCATCCTCTTCTGCCCACCCCCCCGCAGTGCACTAGCAGGGGGCTGGAGGTGGGAGTCCATCCCCAGGCACTCCAGAGTGGGATGCGAGTGAACCACCCATTGTGCCGGCCCCTGGAGAAACGTTTTTTATTCAATGGTGTCAGGTACAAGAAGGGCCAGACAGGGTCGCCAGCAGCTGCAAGGCTGCGGTCAGTGGAGAAACCCCTATGGAGGCCCAGGACTCTATCTGAAAAGATTCACGCACAGGACATCCTGCAGGGGGCGAGGGGACCAGCTCACTCTTAAATTTGGGCGTGACGTGAGTCGCCGAGCTGTGGCGGCGCCCAGAGTCAAAGCACTGTTCGCCAGGTGCCTCCTGGTAAGGACGGTGGGCCCTGCCGCCTGGCACCCCGCCCCAGCACTCACAGCCTCCGCCCCAAGCCCAGCTGACAAGAGCAGTCGGGGACCCGCCAAGCCAACACTGACCGTCATCCTGGAGCCGGCCGCAAGAGCTTCGTGATTGGTGGGACGGGAGTGGGCGGGGCCTAGAATGGAAGGTCTGCTTCGGATTGGTGCAAATCATCGAGGGCGGGTCCTCCACCCCGGCTGGGCGCGAAAGCTCGAACGCCGCTGCCAGGCTGGAGACGGCGGGAGAGGCGCTGCGCCAGAGGTTGCAGGAACCCGGCACTGCTTCGTCTGGCGCGGACCGCTGCGGAGGCCGGAACCATGACGGGCGAGGAAGGCTCTGAGGTGGGTTTAAGCACAGGCCTCCTACATGGGCTGCGGAGGCCGGGCGCCGTGGGGTGGACTGGGGCAGGGGTAGAGCCGGTGCCCCGGGGCTGAGAGGACTACAGCTCCCGGCGTGCACCGCGCGGGCGCCAGCTGCCGCGCGCGCCTCCGCTGAGAGGGGCTCGCGACCTCTCCCGGGGGTCCTGGCGCGAGGCGTCCCGAGCTTCGGGCCGGTGGTCCCGGTGGTCCCGGTGGTCGGTCCTTGCCGCCTGGCTCTGTCCCTGCCGCCCGCCTTCCCCTTTGGCGCGTTTCCTGTCACGTTAGCTCCTCCTCTTACTACGCCCCCAATGAGAGGAGGCCCAGGCGAACGCGCGGCGGGGATGCGGGGCGGGATTCTTGGTAAATGGAGCGCGGGGTGTTAGGAAGTTCGAAATTGGGCCAGGAAGGCCGCCTTGTGTTCTCCGACTGGGTCCCGGGAGCGCAAGACGCTCTCGCCTTGGAAGCAAGATTTAAAAGGACGCTACACAGTAGACTAAAAAAAAGACGTGTAGTCACCCAGTGCAACCCACATTTTAATGCAGTATTTAAAAAACAAAATTTTGCGAAAAGTTTCATGACTTGGTATTGAACAGAATAGGGACATTTTAAATAAGGACAAGATCCAATCCTGCCTCACCCACTTTACCCTAATCCTGTCTCTGGTTCCCGGAAAACTTCGCAGCAGGAGGCTGACATGAGTCATAGTTGGCCGATTTGATTTTTTTTAAAGATACTAATTGATCAGGGAGTTCTTGAAACCCCTCTGTCTCTTCTGGCTCCAGTGTTGGACATGGCTGGTCCTGTTGCGAATGGCCGAGAATAGAACTGAGATTAAAAGCATGCCCATGGATTGAGCTGTGTGCTTACCTGAAGTCAGTGTCCACATCCACAGACAGAACTTAACAGTCTTACTGCTTTGGTTTGTTGAGAGGACCATCAGCACATACATGATAACCGTCAACCCGTGTTATATATTTTTTTAATAATTGAGCTAGACATTGAAATCAACGAACTAATTTGATAAACCACTAGAGTAAGGCCTTATACCCTTTTACATTACATTTGTTTGTAATTTCTCTCATATTTTTAAAAAAAGATTATTCAGGAGGCAGGGTGGGGAGAGAGCTTCCATCTGCTGGTTCACTCCCCAAATGCCAGGGATAGGGATAGCTCAGTCTGGACCCAAGAGCCAGGAATGGCATTTGGGTCTCCCACATGGGTAGCAGGGACCCAAGTACTTAGGCCATCTTCTGCTGCTTTCCCAGGTACATTAGCAGGAAGCTGTATTCGGACTCAAACTGACAGTCAGATATGGGATATGGTCATTCCAAGCTGTGGCTTAACCTCCCTTACTGCAATACTGGGGCCTCCTTGCTTATTATTATCATTCTTAAAAGATTTACTTATTTATTTGAAAGTCAGAGTTACAGAGAGGGAGAGGCAGAGAGAGAACTTCCATTTGCAAGTTCATTCCCCAAATGGCTGCAACAGCCAGCTCTGGGCCAGGAGGAAGCCAGGAGCTTCATCCAGGTTTCCCATGTGCTTGGCAATTGTTCAAGCACTTGGGCCATCTGCTGCTGCTTTCCCAGGTGTATTGTCAGGGGGCAGGATCGGAAGTGGAGCAGCTGGGATGCGAACCGTGCCCATATAGGATGCAGGTGTCATAGGTGGTGGTTTAACCACAGTGCCAGCCCCCCTCCTCCCTTATGAATAAGTTAACTCAGATCCCTGAGAACACTGAGGAGATAGGAGACCTGGCATCTTGGGTCAATTTGGTCACTAACTGTTCAAGTCACTAACACCTAGATTTTTTTACTTGTGACATTTAAAAATGTTTCATTTAGAAAATGTCATCTATACAAATGAGGTGTATGTAATAATCCCTTCACCTAATTTTGATTATTGTCTAATCATGGCCGATCTTGATCAATTTATACCCTACCTTCTTTTCCCTCATTGGATTATTTGGAAGAAAATCCCAACATATTTATTTAAAATTTTAGTTGTTTTTATTTTTTGAGAGAGAGCTCCAATCCACTGATTCCCCAAATGCGTGCAGCAGCTGGGGCTAGACCAGGCTGAAGCTGGGAACTGGGAAACTCAGTGTAGGTCTCCCCCATGAGTGTCAGAGACTGACCTATTTGAGCTACCATTTACTACATCCTGGACTACACATCAGCAGGAAACTGGAATTGGAAGCTGAGCCAGGATTTGAACCAGGCATTGAATATGGGATGCAGGTGTCCCAAGCAGTGTATTAACTATTACACCAAACACCCCCATGACATATTTAATCTACAGATATTTCAGTGCACATTCCTAGAAGACAAAGAGCTTTCCACAAAAGGATAACCGACCATATTATTATGCAAAATATCTAGTCAGTATTCAGATTTCTTTGACTCATGCATATTTCAGATTTTTATTTGAATAAGGATTCAGTCTACAATTGCAATTCTTGGTATATATGTATATCCATCTTTTATGTTGTATATTGTTTAATTGAAAGAGTTGCAGGGAGGGGAGAGAAACAGAGAAGTCTTCCATCTGCTGGTTCACCCCACAAGGGCCACAACGGTCAGAGCTGAACCAGGCCAAAGCCAGGAGCTTCTTCTGGGTCACTCACATGGGTGCCAGGGCCCAGGCACTTGGGCCACCCTCTGCTGCTTTTTCCAGGCCATTAGCAGGGGAGCAGGATCAGAACTGAAGCAGCCAGGATTCGAACTGGAGCCCATATGGGATGTTGGCATCCCAGGCTGTGGCTTTGCTCACTGTGCCACAACACAGCCCCGAGTTTCCCACATCCAGATTGTATGTCTGGTATTTTTGAACACGCTCCTCAGCTCTCTCTTTTGGATCTACAGACTTGATCAGATTCAGATGTGAGTGTTCTGACATGAATGCTGTATAGATGGTGTTGGGTACTTCTATTAGGCTGTATACAATGTGTTGTTCCTTTTTTGGTAAAATCAGCAGACATTAATGTCATTGCCTAGCTCTGTTATTTAATTGAAGGTTGCTAAAAACTGTGATAGCCTAAGTCCATGATTTCTTCCTTGATTAACTAGGATATTTCTCTTAAGAAAAACTTCCTCTCAGCCATAAGAAGGAATGAAATTCTGACATTTGCAACAAAGTGGAAGCAACTAGAGATCACTGTACTAAGTGAAATAAGCCAGACCCAAAAAGAAAAATATCACATTTTCTATTTGTGGTAGTTAATATAGATATCTAGATATACTATTATTGTTTTAATGATCTGTGATTGTTTTTTAAAATTTACTGTGAGTGAAATGGACATCTTTTTGTTTGAATATTGTTTATAATCGTTGCCTATATTCCTGCTGAACTGTGGTCATTTTACTTTTTACTTGTTGAACTCTTTAGTCAAGCAGTAAGCCTTTGATTATAAGGTAAATTAAAAATATGTTATATCAGGGGCCTGCACTGTGGCACAGTGGGTTAACGCCCTGGCCTGAAGTGCCGGCATCCCATATGGGCGCAAGTTCTAGTCCCAGCTGCTCCTCTTCCAATCCAGCTCTCTGCTATGGCCTGGGAAAGCAGTAGAAGATGGCCCAAGTCCTTGGGCCCCTGCCCCTGTGTGGGAAGGCAGTACTGTGGCTTAGAGGGTAAAGCCACCACCCACAGAGCTGGCATCCCTTGCCTGGACACAGACCAGGGCAAAGAAAGGAGAATCGACCCAGAGAGGCAAAAAGATAATAAGCAGCACAGTGGCTTCCATCGGATGGAAGACTTCTCTTTCTCTGCCTCTCCTCTTTCTGTGTAACTCTGACTTTCAAATAAATAAAACAAAATTAAAAAAAAGTTATATCAAAAATTTAAAAAGAAAGGGAGAAGGGTAGTATCATTACAGTTCTAGAATTGCATATTTCTAGAATTGTATCTATGAGCTACATTGAATCTGTTATATGAATATCACATTAACATGAGAATTGTGTTGTAGTGATTATCATACATTTGCTGTAACCCTGAGAATGAAAAAGTAACTGAAAAAAAGAAAAAAAAAACTTCCCTTTATCAATCATTTAGGTACACTGAGGATGCCATGATAAATGCTTGATTCTTTTATTTATTTACTGTTACTGAAAGAGTTGGTTATATTAGGTCCTACAAAAGTGTCTGAGAAGCTCAAAAGTTCATGGTTTTCAAAATTTTTTGTGCCAAAATAAACTTTTTTTTTTTTTTGACAGGCAGAGTAGATAGAGAGACAGAGAGAAAGGTCTTCCATTGCTGGTGGTTCACCCTCCAATGGCTGCCACAGCTGGGACGCTGCGGCCGGCGCACCGCGCTGATCCGATGGCAGGAGCCAGGTGCTTCTCCTGGTCTCCCATGGGGTGCAGGGCCCAAGCACTTGGGCCATCCTCCACTGCCTTCCCGGGCCACAGCAGAGAGCTGGCCTGGAAGAGGGGCAACCGGGACAGAATCCGGCGCCCCGACTGGGACTAGAACCCGGTGTGCCGGCGCCGCTAGGTGGAGGATTAGCCTAGTGAGCCACAGCACCAGCCCCAAAATAAACTTTTTAAAATTGGATTTCCCCAGAACTTTTTACAGTGTCCTCACAAAAAATTTTTGGTTTTTGTTTCAGTAATTCTAAATATCATCTCTTCATTGATCCATTGTATTGGTTCATTCCTTCTTTCAGCTTGATGATCCCATGATGTTTTGTGTATCAATACTTGGAGCTTTCTGTTAGCTCATATTCTCATTTTCTAGGTACACCTGGAAATCAGTGACCCAAAACTCCTTCCACAAGAAGCAGGCAGTCCTGTAGACAGTGGACAGGGTAGCTGTGAAACCACTGGCACCTTCAGTGAAAGAGGTTTGTAATATGCATTACTTTTGTTTTTAGAAGTAGAAGAGGCCTGGGTTGTAAGTTAATTGAACTAATTTCTTTAATCTCTTTGTTTTTAGCTTGGCTTTTGTTTAGTATAAAAGCAAGTACTTACATCTTTTTGATAATATCCATTTCTATTCTATTACTGAATGTATAAAATGTAAAATGTCTAACAGCCACCACATGGCCTGGTTAAATGCATTCATCCTATAATAAAAGGATTTTTAACACCTGCCAGAGGGATTAGAACAACTTTACACATTGTAAATATATATAATTGCTTTTCTCAGTAAGACACATTTTACCAGGGAAAATGTTTTCAAAATGTATTTTTAGATTTTCTTTGCTACAATCAGTTCTTAATGGTAGTTACATAATTTCACAAGGTGATGTAACGCTTGTATAATTGGATATATTTTCCAGGAGTATGAAGCTAGGAGGAAAGCCAAATGATTGTAAACCTTTGAAAATTTTATGTTTCCTCCAGATTCAGATGAAGAGATGTTTGTGAGTAAGAAATTGAAAAGCAGGAAAGTGCTGCAGGACAGTGATTCTGAACTAGAGAATAAAACTGCTTCTCCAGAGAAAGCTACCTATGACAGTGCTGAAGAGGAAAATAAAGAGAATGTATATACTGGGAAAAATGGAAAAATCAAAAGGACTTACAAAACTCTGGCAGACAGTGAGGACAGTGACATAGAGGAGTCTTTGTCTCAGGAAAATCTTCAAGGGACACCTTGCTTAGAGCTGAATCTCCAGTCTGGAAACTCTGTGGACTTCATGGCTGACAGCAAGGTTTCTAGAAAATCGATACGTGATAAAGAAGGAACTGGAGGAAAAGCAAAAGTAAAGTCAAAGAGAAGGCTTGAGAAAGAGGAGAGAAAGATGGAAAAAATTAGGCGGCTGAAAAAGAAGGAGACAAAACATGAGGTACATGCTTAAAGGATGATTTGCTATTTCTCAAGTAGATTAACATTTTAGTAAAAGTTGCTTTCACTCTTGATGTGTTTTCTGCATCCTGAATAGAGCTTTGCATAGGCCATTTTGCATTGAGTGTGATTTAAAACGTATTGGTCTTATTTTTTCTTTTTTTAAGATTTATTTATTTATTTACTTGTTCAAAAGGCAAGGTGACAGAGGGAGAGACAGAAATATATTCCATTCTCTGGTCCCCTCCCCCAGATGGCCACATAAGTTGGGGCTAGGCCAGGCCAAAGCAAGGGTCCAGAAACTACATCTGAGCTTTTCATGTGGAGTCAGGGACTCAAGTACTTGAGACATCGCCTGATGCCTACCCAGACAGAGAAAGCTGGATCCGAGGCAGAGTAATGGGGACTCAGACCAGGCATTCTGATATGCGATGTGGATGTCTGTAGCAGTAGCTTAACCCACCGTACCACAATACCTCCCTGGGCTTAGTTTTCATTTTGGATATGTAGAGGACACTTCCAAATGGGTTTCTTTTCTTTTCTTTTTTCTTTTTTTTTTGAAGATTTATTTATTTATTTGAAAGGCAGAGTTACAGAGAGACAGAGAGAGGTCTTCCATCTTCTGGTTCACTCCCGAAATGGTTGCAAGTGGACTGGAGCTGCTCTGATCTGAAGCCAGGAGCCAGGAGCTTCTACCAGGTCTCCCGTGCGGATGCAGGAACCCAAGCACTTGGGCCATCTTTTGCTGCTTTCCCAGGACATAGCAGAGAGCTGGATTGGAAGTGGAGCAGCCGAGACTCGAATCGGCGCCCCTATGGGATGCTGGCACTGCAGGTGGTGGCTTTACCGCTACACCACAGCACCAACCCTGGGTTCTTATTTTCTGTGTGAGGATGTGAATTAATTTTTCACTGCTTCTGACCTGATGAAAATGAACTTTTGAAATAATCCTTTAGTGTATCCATCAGTCAGAAGTCTTACTTGCTAACTGAAAAAAACACCCACAAGTTTTATATGCTATTGCTTAATAAGTATTTAATTGACTTTTTAAAAAATTTACTGTTAATTTTGGACAGTTGCATAAAATCACAGCTTGGACTTCAAAGGCTAACGATGAGTTAGGAACCACTGAGAATGTTCTAGCTGCCCTAGACTTGTCTGAAACATGGGCTGATCCAGTTTGCCATATATGTTGTGAAGCATTGGATTGTGACATGATTCGCTTACGCTTTTGTCTTTACGTATTATCCAGGAAGATGATGTGGAACAGCCATTTAATGACAGTGGCTGTGTACTTGCAAATAAAGACCTTTTTGAAACTGGATTGGAGGAAGAGAATAACTCTCCAGTGGAGGATGAAGAATCATTAGAATCAATAAGGGCAGCTGTGAAAAACAAAGTGAAAAAGCACAAGGCAAGTGAAGCGTGATTGCAATAGGAGCTAACCAGCTGCTTCTGATCTTGATTTTTTTGGATTTACTGTTGCAACCTTAATTTTGTTTAACTGAAGAAAAATGTGTACAGATTGATTTAAGTTTTTCAGCTGTTAATTTTGGAAACTTGCAGTACAAGTGATAGACATGTTAACTTGCTTGGAGACTAGTACTTTGTTATTGCTCTTCTAGGAATGATGGGGGGTGGAAAGTAAGATACTTTGTGTTGTGATAAGAAGCAGATAAATATTGGGGCAGAGATGTAACTTTTACAATTCTGTGGCCCCTGAGAAATGAACTCAGTAGGATCTTGGGGGTGTATCAAAGAGAGGCATCATCACAACGTTGTCCTGAGTGGAAGCCTCTCTTCCTAAGATTTTTCTTTAGCTCCTTTTGAGCCATTGTTCCCTCTTTAGGGAAAGATGTAAGTGGAGATGTAAGAAATGAGGGTTCAAGCTCCATTTGAGTAAGATCATCTGCTTTTTAAGTGTAGTAGGATGCTGTGTTTAAAATTTTCTATTAAATTATTGACTTATTGTTAATGTGATGTTGGAGTACAAAAGTCATCTTCAAAGACAGCTTCTTTGTGAGTATAGCTTTTGTCCTAATCAATTTGCAATCTCTTTTAGAAAAAGGAACCATCGTTGGCAAATGGGGTCTGTTCATTTGAAGAAGAAAGTGAGTTATCAAAAGGTGGCATGAGGAAGGTGAGATAGTCACATTGGTGTCTTTCACAGGAGATTGTGTTTCTTAGGAACAAATATTTTACTTTGCTATATTTTCCTGGTACTTGTCATACTGCTTTGTAGATAGCAGGTACATAAATACTGATCGGATTGAATTAATTCTCTGAGACAAATAAATGAGCTCCTTGAGTTCATATTTATATTGAGTTTATTTGTGCTTATATCCCATCTCCTGTTTTCATGGAGAGAACAACTTATGAGAGATGAAGCTCTTTCTGGATAATATTTTTAATGCAGTCTCACTTTTTGTCTTTAAGGAAAGGAAAGCAGCCAAGTTAAGTAAAGAAGCATTGAAAAAACTGCACAGTGAGACTCAGCGCCTTATTCGAGGTAATGCAAACTGGCACAGTAAACTCGGAGGCAAATCGCAATATTTCTTTGTACGCTGAACTTGGGATGTTGGAGGTTTTTGGTTTTTTTTTAACATTCTTAATGTGAATTCAAGTTAAAATATCTTACCAGTATTGTGGTGGCATGTTAAGCTGCTATCTGCAATGCAGGCATCAAATATCAGAGTCCTGGCTACCTGCTTCAGATCGAGCTCCCTGCTAATGTTCCTGGAAAGGCAGTAGAAGGTGATCCAAGTACTTGGGACCCTGGCATCCATGTGGGAGATCTGGATGGGCTTTGTAGCTCCTGGCTTCAGCCTGGCCCAGTCCTGACTGTTATGGCCATTTGGGGAGTGCGCCAGTGGATGGAAGATCTCTCTCTCTCCCCTTCATTCTCTCTGTCACTCTGCCTATCAAGTAAATAAATAATCAGTCTTTTAAAAAATTATAATATATGTGCCTGGCGCTGTGTCACAGCAGGGTAAGCCATCATCTGGTATACTGGATTCTCATATGGGCACTGGTTCATGTCTCTGCTGCTCCACTCCTGATTCGGCTCACTGCTAAAGCATCTAGGAAAGCAGTGGAAGATGGACCCAAAGGCTTGGGCCCCTGCACCCATGTGGAAGACATGGAAGTAGCTCCTGGCTCCTGGCTTTGACCTGGCCCAGGCCAGGCCTGTACAGCCACTTGGAGAGTGAACCAGTGGATGGAAGATCTCTGTCTCTCCTTCTCTCTCTCTGTAACTCTGCCTTTCAAATAAATAAATAAATCTCTAAAAATTATAATATCAAGTTTAAGTTTAGATTTGATCTTGGGAAATTGCCATTGTTCTAAAGCCCTTGGAACATTAGTATAAACTGAGAAAACTTCAGAATTGTAGTGGAGGCAAGATTTTTTTTTAAAGATTTATTTATTTATTTGAAAGGCAGAGCTATAGAGAGACAGAGGCAGAGAGAGAGAGATCTTCCATCTGCTGGTTCCCCAAATGGCCACAATGGCCAGAGCTGAACCAATCTAAAGCCAAGAGCCAGAAACTTCTGGGCCTTCCACGTGGGTGCAGGGGCCCAAGGACTTGGGCCATCACCTACTGCTTTCCCAGGCCATAGCAGAGAGCTGGATGGAAGTGGAGCAGCTGGGTCTCGAACTGGCATCCATATGGGATGCCAGCACTGCAGGCGGCAGCTTTACCCACTATGCCTCAGCATGCCAGTCCTGCAAGAATTTTTAAAGGGTTTATGGACTGGTTGTATCAGTATCCCTTTGGGAGGTTTTCTCTCTCTCTCTCTCTCTTTTAAGATTTATTTATTTTACTTGAAAGGCAGAACAGAGAGGAGAGGGAGAAACAGAGACAGAGACAGAAATCTTCCATCTGCTGGTTCACACCCCAAATGGCCACAACAGCCAGATCTTGGCCAGGTTGAAGCTGGGAGTCAGGAATTCCATCTGGGTGTCCCACATTGGTGGCAGGGACCCAAGCACTTTTTTTTTTTTTTTTTTTAAGATTTATTTATTTATTTATTTGCAATTCAGAATTACACAGAAAGAGAAATAGAAGCAGAGAGAGGTCCTCCATCCACTGATTCAGTCCCCAGTTGGCTGCAACAGCTGGACCTATACCAATCCAAAGTCAGGACCCAGGAGCTTCTTCCAGGCCTCCCAAGATGATGCAGGGGCCCAAAGACTTGGGGCATCTTCTACTGCTTTCCCAGGCCATAGTAGAGAGCTGGATCAGAAGTGGAGCAGCAGGGACTCGAACCAGTGCCCATATGGGATGCTGGCACTGCAGGTGGCGGCTTTACCTGCTACGCCACAGCACCAGCCCTGACCCAAGCACTTTCTTGATTTCCCAGGTGCATTAGCAGGGAGCTGGATCAGAAATGCAGGAGTAGAGTAGCCATGACTTGAAATGGTGCTCATACAGGATGCTGGTTGTGGCTTCACCTAATGAGCCACAATACAGGCCCCATCTCCAACCTATGTTGAAGGAAGGATTATTCTATTTTTGGTGTTGTCTTCAGTTATACTATTTGGTGACTATTTGAAGTGATATTTCAGAATATACTGTATATGTATTTGCTTGTTTTGTTTCATTTTTATAGAGTCTGCACTGAATCTTCCATATCACATGCCTGAGAATAAAACCATTCATGACTTTTTCAAACGTAAACCCCGGCCCACTTGCCAGGGAAATCCCATGACACTCCTGAAGTAAGAACCCTCTTTCTTTGTGATTATAATTTTTGTGAGCTCTTGGTTTTATAGCAAGATGTGTCATAATAAAAAGTTCAGATCCCTAACTCCATTGAAACAGATTATGAACTAAGGAATGTGAATATTTCACAATGAAGATAATTTTCAACTCTACCTCCTTTTCCCTGCTCTAGGTCATCCAAATATCAGTCTAGCCATCACAAAGAAATCATAGACACTGTAAATGCAACTGAAATGGGTTGTGACCGCCAATGCAAAGGTTCTGAACAAACAACAGGCACGGAATCTGAAACGGAAATTAATGCACTCCCCATGGTTTCAAAGGAACCTCAGATCACTACTAGATCAGATGAGTCTTCTAGGAACGATTTGGTGAGAAGTGAGGAGCCAGAAGTTCAGGAGAAACAGAAGCAGAGTGATGTTGGACCTTTACCTGGGGACAGCGTAGTGTCGCAACAGGAATCCAGTAGGAATGACAGTGCGGAATGTCAGGCTGGAAGTCCCATCACATCTGAACCTCATGCCCTGAAGAGAGAAGACAACCTGAAAAAAGCAGAAGAAGCAGAGGAGAAAGTGCAAGAGCCCGGGCAGCAGACTAAATCAACAGCCGCTGTGCCACCTGAAAAAGCGAGACGGTTCACTCTGGATAGACTTAAGCAGCTGGGAGTTGATGTTTCCATTAAACCACAGCTGGGTGCTGATGAAGATTCCTTTGTGATACTTGATGAACCTGAAACCAACAGAGGTAATCTTGAAATTGCGGGGCGCCTCCCTGGAGTGATTTGTCCTGGCAGTTTTCAGTTACTTGCCACGTTGGAGGACAGGGAACACAAGAGAAACCAATAACCACACGTGCTCTTACTCCAGTTGTGCCAGAGATAGGAGGGGTTCCATTGAGATAAATTTGACAGGGTGTCAGGATGATCTAAACCTTGTTTCTAATGGAAGCCTGTTGATAGTTGATAGTTAATGTACAGAAGAGGCACACTGCTGTTGTGTTATGGTATTTAGGAATTTATTTCTGTCTTTGCACCCTGAAATTTTAAGTTTTTCTATGATCCTTGTTAAATCTTATTAAGACCTTCACAAAGACAATGTTCAGTTTTTCATAGCTAAACATTTTGGTTCCCTTAAATTGTCTGTAATGCTGAATTTTTTTTCACTCATCCAACTGATATTCATGTGTCTGCTGTGTGCAAAACACTGTAGAGCATACTAAGACAAATCACATTTATCCTATACTTTCGATGTGTACATTGTAGCGGTGGTAAGAAATGTGCAAGTTACAGTAATGCAAGGGAGAGTGGTAAGTGACATGATGAACTTGTCATTGATAATCAAGAAAATTAAAAAATGTGAAGAAAAGGGGAAATATTCTTTTCTGCGGAGAGGGGAAAACATTTACCATTAAGTTCTACAGGAGTTCAGGGATAAGTGTCTTCTAGTGGGTTGTTAAAGGAAGACTTGAAAGGAGATGGATGTGATTATACATTAGATGTCTTTCTACAAGGGAACTTCAAAAAGTTTGTGAGAAAATGGAATTAAAAGATAAGTTTATTTTTGACACAAAAAAAATTTTAAAATCCATGCGCATGTTTTTGTTTTGTTTTGTTTTGTTTTTTGACAGACAGAGTGAGAGATACAGAGAGAAAAGTCTTCCTTCCATTGATTCACCCCCCAAATGGCTGCTATGGCCAGCATGCTGCGCCGATCCGAAGCCAGGAGCCAGGCGCTTCTTCCTGGTCTCCCATGGGGTGCAGGGCCCAAGCACTTGGACCATCCTCCACTGCCTTCCCAGGCCACAGCAGAGAGCTGGACTGGAAAAGGGCCAACTGGGAAAGAATCTGGCGCCCCGACCGGGACTAGAACCTGGGGTGCCGGCGCCACAGGCGGAGGATTAGCCTAGTGAGCCGTGGAGCCGGCAATGCACATGTTTTTCATTATGTGCATTTCCCAGACCTTTTGAAGACCCCTTCTGTGATGTGGAATCTCCTGTGTTCTCTACACATCACTAGTCCTTCCTCAGTAATGACACATTGTAGACATTTGTATTTATTGAATGAAGGAACGATCTTTCTTTCTTTCTTTTTTTTTTTTTTT